TCTGATATTTAAAAATGCTGTGGGTTGATACATACATTGGCATGTAGGATAGGCAGATTTTGTTTTGGAAAAAAATTCCATCGTCTTTTTTTTTCACTTCCGTCACTAAAACTTTACATGTAGGCCTATATATGCCTCAAGAAATTCGAAAAAATTTCTAAATTTTTACTTCCATACAGGGGTCCATATTTGTGCATCATGAAATTCGCAAAGAATTTTCTTAACCGATTTTATATTTAATCTGATTTTTATTATGGTGGGGACCTACTCATATTACTATTAGGATAACCAGACGTTATTTTTAGATTTCGCGAAGGTGTTTAGAAGCTACCTAGGTCGAAGAGAAAAAGGGGAATCCCCTAATCAGTGGCATATATATATATATATATATATATATATATATATATATATAGATAGATAGATAGATAGATATGACGCATTGCTCATTTTAAAATGGCGACCGCTTCAATTGGAGATGAAGACAAAAGTTTGAGGGCAAAGATTCGAGAAAATTTCACCAACTGCTCCATCTGCCTCAAGTTTTTGAAGATCCAAAAGTTCTGCCCTGTCTCCACACCTACTGTAAACGATGTCTGACCAACTATATCCCCGATAATACACCAGGTAGGGCGTGTTGTCACCCAAATTTAACCAGGAAGTAGATTCATTTTTGTTAAGAACATGCACTGTCCCTATCCTTTATTAAATGAGTGACCGACTACGACCCTGATAATTCACAAAATGCGACATGTGACATGTTAGAATTGAAATACATAAACTCGTGGCACTTTTGTACATTAATATAAAATATAAAATACTGTGCCAACACTGTAAAGCTTATCGTCGATTTCATAAATGATAAATTAATGTTGGACGGTAATTGTACATTTTGGTTTATAATGACATGTGTTTAAGCCACAAAAAATGCTTCAAATTCAAAAGTAATTAAGTAAAGAACACCTTCTCTTGCCTATATCAGTATTTCTTATCTAAAATGTTTGTTTCCCCCATTTTCGAAAATTATCAATGTCCCTACCCCTCTCTTTAAATGTAATTAGCCCGTCTTTTAATGCATTATCATATTAAAAATTGCAGTCAGTTGAATTCATATTTATTTTGTCGACCAAAAAAATTTTTGTGAAAAAGTTTGAAATCAAACAAACAGTGTTAATGATTTACTATTCTCATTAAACAAAAAAATGTAAAGAATAACATTTGACAGAAACTGGGATATATAAAGTACATATAACCAAGCATTGATAAGATAAACACTTATGCTTCTAAAGAAAATCAGTAAACTGAAAAGTGTAAATTATTTTCAATTCCAGGAAGCAAGTTCCTGTGTCCCTTGTGCCAGAAAGAGACAAAACTTCCTGAAGATGGAGTTGATGGTTTCCTCCACAACTACTTCATAGACAGCCTCCAGGACACTGTGCTCACACCGACCAGGAAGAAGAAATGTGGTGCCTGTGCTGCTGACGGCGAAAATGTTGAGGCAGTATCCAAATGTCTCAACTGCAGTGAGTACCTATGTAGTCCTTGTGCCAAGTATCATACCCGTTTCAAAATATCAGTGAATCACAAGGTCTACACCTTAGATCAGCTACACAGTGGGGAACACCATCAAGAGCTCCAGGAATTCCAGAGTGTCTTCTGTCCTGAACACAAAGAAGAACCCATCAGGTATTTCTGTCTCAAGTGCCAGATGCCCATTTGCCGTGACTGCAAGGTCCTCACTCATGATGAACACAAGTGCACATCCCTGGATACTGCCATAGAAACAGTGAAGCCTAAACTGGCATCCATGCTGGAAAAGTTAGACGACAAGATCAGCGTACAAGAAAACGATTTAACTATCCTTCAGGCTGTGCTCAGGGACCACGATACCAATACCAGCTCTGTGATGAAAGACATCTCAGACCACAGTCGGCATCTTCAGCAACAGATTCAGCAGCAGGAGAAAAAGCTTCTCCAAGAAGTTCAGCAAGTCAGCGAGGCTCATAAGAAGAACATTACCTTGTACTTGGAGAGTTGTGAGGTCACCACGTCAACCATGAAGAGCACCTCAGATCTAGTAGGCAGCATCCTGTCCCGTGGTACTCCAGCTGAGATCCTCATTCTACAGCAGCAAGTGGGAGACAGGTTACAGGAGCTCCTGCTGCCATTTGGTGGTGATGATATACCACAACACCTCAGCCTACAGCTACAGACCAACAATGATGTTGACAGAGAAGTGAACAAGGGGACAGGACTTGGGAAGATACAACAAAACAGACAAGATATTCAAGGTCTTATTTCACCAAGACTAGTCATAACACAGAAGGCACATATCAAAAATAAATCACACATGGTTGGTCAGGTTGTTTTGAAATGTAACTGTCCATGTAGTCTGACCACCTGTTCCAAGCCTCAGCAAGGATACCTGGTGGCGGATTACAGTGATAACAAAGTGTGCAGATTCAGCTCAGATTGGCAACTCATTTTAGAGCAAACCAAAGTTCGTTTCAGGTCAGATTGGCCACTCATTTTAGAGCAAACCAAAGTTCGTTTCAGGCCATTGGACAGACCCAATGGTATAGCAGTACTACCTGGTGGTACCATAGTGGTCTCTGAATATGGCAACAACAAACTTATCTTCATGTCACAGGACTTAAACCTCACTAAAGAAGTGGATATCAAAAGTCCTGATGGTTTGCATGTCACCAAGTCCAATACCATCCTGGTTGCCCAGCCTAAACTCAAACAAGTTGGCATTGTTAGCATTCACGGTGCAGTAGTGGGTACCATAAAGCACAATGCCTTTCAGTGGCCTTGGTATGTGACTGTTCTTAACAATGGGAACGTTGTTGTATCTGATCGCAAAGCAAAGGCTGTGTTCATTCTGAGTCCCACTGGGTCCCTCCTCCACACCTACGCTGGCTCTGGACAGAATAAACTCTGTGATCCATGCAGTGTCTGTGTTGACCAGTATGATAACATTATGGTTGCTGACCGTAACACTAACAAAATTCACATCATATCAGATGATGGTAATTTTGTCCAGTTCTTAGCAACAGAAGATGATGGACTGCAGGATCCTCTTGGTTTAACCATCAACCATAATGGTGATTTAGCAGTGTCTCAGAGCAGAGGGAAGGTCACAGTGTTTAGGTACTTGGATTCAGGCTAGATGTAAATAAATAAACTTGTCCTGAGATTGATGGATTATAAATGAAAAGCTGTACTGTGGTGATCAATTATATATGAAAATCTGTACTGTGGTGACCGTAAATTGTTTTTGAAAAGTAACAAGCATGCTTTACATAGATACTGAAATTAATTGGTAAATTATAAATAATTGTTGCCATTAAATCACCAAATCATAACATATTGAACCGTGCAATTATAAATGTAATTTTGTTGACTGTCCGTCTTTAATGTGTTGATTTGCACTCTAAGTTTTGCAAGTGATAAAAAACATACATGTATTTGATTTTATATCTAGTGCATGCTGTAGTAAATTTAGAAAGGAATTCTGTTTTGTTCTAGATAATCACCTTCATTAGTAATGTATCTGACATTTCTAATCTTCTGTATTTTTAAGCTGTGACATTATCTATAAATAAGCTATATTTCAGCTACAACAAACGCATATCGAATTTTAAATTTTGTCTTTTTCTAATTTTGCAATTTACAGACGTTAAACAAATCTGTTAAACACAGCAAATTTGTATCGAAAATGCTTATTAAAATTATTCAAAAACGACATCTCTTTTTATTTTCACTGTTTAGACAATAGCCTACATCAGTAATTATACCAAAGGGCAATTAACATTCAGCAATTAACAAGCAGCACACAACCTCTGTTCCCTTCTACTTCAGGAAACCACAGTTCTCAGACCAGAGAGAGAGAAAACAACCGTTCGGTTCCAGCTGAAAAAGTCATAGTTATTTTATTGAAATGATCAGAAGATTATATAATACAACTGAAGTATAAACGTAATTCTGTCACGTATGCCATTTCTTTTTGCGTGTGAGAAAACCTGGAAGGCAACCCTACCACGCTCTCAAATTTAAACATACATTTTGATGTTTTTTAAAAAGTACGCGAGGAAATCACCTCCACAGTGACTCATCTGACACCCAAATCTTTACTCTGTCACAATTACATGCAATATCAACAATGATATAAACCCAAACATTACTTTATGGGTACTACATGAAGAAGTTTGTTTCGAAGTACTAGTTTTACTGTCCTGGAACCATGGAGAATAAGAAATAACTCCTCATCTACCCCCCCCCCCCCAAAAAAAAAAAAAAGAACATTACCGTCACAAATGGAAAACTTTCAGCTGCAGAAGTGTATTACTCAGTTTGAAAATTCTATCAACACTGCTTTTCTTTCTAAACTTATAATTTTGTGAAAAAAACTCACAATTTTCTGAATAGAGCGATTAATTATTTTTGTGCGATTTTAGTTTGTCACTGTATATTTAAAAGAAGGATAAAATCGGCATGCTGTCAACAAAACAAGCACAAAGTGAACTATATTTGTGGTGCAAAATTATTTCAGAAATGTCTACTTACACATGAAAACCCTGTTGCCTATTGTACCAAGTGCTTGGACAAGACTAACCTTTTTTTCGGACGATTTTCTGGGGAACATGACGCAAACCCCCCTGAGTTACAGTTTAAAATATTACTAAGAAGTCCTTATGTCAGCTTTTATTTACCATGAATGAATCAATAAAACATATTTGGAACATGATACAAGAAAATAAAAAATATATATCACCAGAAACAACTAAGTACGAAAAAGCTAAAAAAAAAAATGCCGCTTGATTATCGATTAGACACGGAATAGATTCCCTGCGGGAATTACGCAGCAAGCATTCAGGTTGGCCGGCCATATTTGATCCTCGGATTTGTAAGTCCGCTCTTAGAGCGCAACAAGTTAATCTGCAGACTAACAGATCTGCGGAATAAATATGGCCGACTCACTTAAAAGTAATGACGCTAATCCCCTAAGGGTAGGTCTACTGCCTCCACACGGGCCGTCGCCGTCTAGGAGCTGAGATTTAATCTCTTTAAGGGCAAGGCTGAGAGCTGAGATTTAATCTCTTTAAAGGCGGAGAGACCATCTGGGAATTGAGCGGCTTGCTCTTAAACTGGCCATATTTAGTAGGCGGATAAGTTAGTCCACTGATGATCTGTTCTGAATGCGCTCTTAGCTGCAAATTTTACCAGCATTTTTAGAGTACCTTTCATACACACTTTCATTTGATAGGAGCATGCTTCTTGCAGCGATACAGAAAGAAAAATGACTCAAAACTATCAATTGTACCGTCCCGTCATCCACGTCGTCATTTCTTTTCGGGAAGTCATTCAGAATTTAATCACGGCATTTGTTCTTACTAACAAAGCAAACACATTTCCTTAATCAAATCTGAATTATTTAAGCCCTAACTTACAAAGCGCACTGTTTTAGCGACTATTTTTTTTTTTAATATTCCCACGGCATCTCAAAAAACGACACACTTGGGCCTTGGAAAGGCGTACTTTTCAGATTTTTCATTAAAAAAATCATATCATACACATATCAGGTTTTTAAGATTAAGCCTGGTGTTTTGGATTACCAAAGTAAAAGGACGCTAGCTATTTATGAGGGTGAGTAACGGTGTGTGTGCGTGTGTGTGTGTGTGTGTGTGTGAAGGGGAGGGATTACGGTGCCGGGGAGTAACGGTGTGGGAACGTGGGCCTACTACAGTAGTAGGCCTAAAGATGCGGGATGTAAAGTAGTGTAAATGTGGTGCGGGGTACAGCACATGTACATGTAAGGCTATCAGTGCGTGAGAGGATCGGTACGGTGCATGTGGGGACGTATATACTATATATAGACTATTAGGGACGTAATAAAACGTTGGTTTCCATCGACACCGGCATGGATGGAGATTGAGGGCAACACTGAGGGTTTCACTGGTAGGCCTACGTATCAATTATGGAAGGGTGCAAGTATATTTCTATGGGAATTTCCGGTCATTTAAGATTAATCAAGTTAACCCACAGTAGAAAACAAGCCAACTTTGTTGTGAGGCTCTGTATTAAAGAAAAAACAACTTTACAGGAAACGCGTTTTCAAGGTTCATACCAGAACATTGATGGTTTGGGGGTTTGTGTCAGTGTGTGTGTGTGTGTGTGTGTGTGCACTTATTCCCCCCCCCCCCCCCATACACACACTGGGAACGAGGCTTAATTACGAATGGTGTCATTGTTCGATCTTCTCTGGCCACAGGATACGCTACTTGTCTACAAAAATGTTGAAAGCGCATAACGTGATTTTGTGTAGCATTTTGTGGGCCCCTGAAATCAGATGGCACATGTTATTGTAGCGGGGCCGTAGCGATAGTCCGAAGGTTCAATAGTCCGAAGGTTCATTGGTCCGAATGTTCACTATAGAACCTTCCGACCAATGAACCCTTGATAAAAAAATCCATAAAAATGTTACCACTTATCGGACCAATGAAGCTTCGGACCAATGAACCTTCGGGCTATCGAGACGCCCCCATTGTAGCCCGTACAGATTCGGATTCTTTATTGACAAACACCTTCACATGCAAGGTACAATAAATAACAGCACAACTAACATTAAACGTTATAGAGCTAAAATACATGTACATGTAAATAAATAAAATATAAATAAATATGAATCTCACTGTGATGTCTTAACAAATATGATTGGGGTCTATGCACCCCCCCCCCCCTCCTGCTACATCTCCTACACAAAAACATGCCCCTCAGCGGAGAACCCATGCAGTCTCGGCAACGATTTATATCAGTTAGGTGATGAATTCCGCATACCATCATAAGTACTGAAAGCAGTCAATGTTGTGCAAGGGAACCCGGAAGTTACTGCGTTTTTAGAATAGTTCCATTTAAATTCGTTTAAAATTACATCAAGTCAAGCACGTACTGTAATTACTTCACCACTTATTTATTTTCTAGCAGTTTTGTGCTTGTTTTGGAACCTTTATGACCAGCCCCATGATTCATTTTATTTGCATACTTTGAGTATATGTATATAATTTCATTCAGGAGATGGGGTGGAACCAATCAGATAATGTACAATTTCCTGTTGGGTTCTAATTGTTTTTAACACGACTACCAGTAGTAATAAACACAAAGATTTAGATGAGGGGTGAGTTTTCTGTGCAATTGAAAGCTTTGTTTTAGTTTTAAGTTTTTAATTTTAAATAAACAACTGATATTTGAATGCAATATGTGACGGATCCTTTCCTAAGCCTTCACTAAAATAAATTTGGAAGCTAAGTCATACAGTGTAATGTTGAAGCATTTAATTTTATACAATACAGGTACATGAAGTAATTTAAGTGCGTATATGCACATGTGCTGCGTGTGTACTCTTAACTCAGTTTTATTATGTACCACATTTCATTATTACGAATACTGAATAGTATTGAGTCACCTTGCTATACCCGAAAAACTGTTTTGAGTCATCATGTACACGGTGTATGATATTTTCCTGTTTTACATGTATTTGTCAGCAGTCCTTTATATCAGCCTCAGTAATTGGGATGTCACATGTGATGGAGAATATATATTTGTACTGTAATATTGATACTTAAGGAACTTGTACAGGTGTCACATATACTTACAGTTTTGATATACTAGTAAATTGGACTTTCTTAAATTGCAAAATACCTGTACATGTATGACTAATTTTGACAGTACTTACTACATGTATATGCCTACATGCATGTTGATTAAGAGCTACAGTTTTGAGCATTTCGAAATTTCGCAATTGTAATTTAAGTTGTTGTTCTACAGAATAAGGTATTGCATGGTCATATGCCTCCTGAGTGTGAATAATACCGTCATTTTGTGAAATTGAATCAGTGAAAACATTTGTGTAATTAATTATAAAATAGTTTTAAAATTCTGATCAATTTCGTTGCAGTTCTAAGAGTTGAAAATGGTGAAGGTCCAGTTGTTTCAGATCAACTTCAGTAATCCCAGCAAGGTGTTCCTGGCTGGACAAGTAGTCAGCGGTCAAGTGGTGCTACAGTTAAGGGAACCTACAAAACTCAATGGTAAGTACTGTATACTGTATATTATAAAGTTGTATACTCTGTGGGAAATTTGTGCCCTTACTAACGTGGTGTAACCGTTTTA